TGTCTTACGGATTCTCTGGAGAAAACAGGTACAGCGTCCAGTCTTCATGCTCTTTGCACCATCGGGGCTTCATGTTATGGAACTCCTTCCTGGTCCAGTAGCAAAAAGAAGCCTGCAGAAAACGATGGTTGCACATCAACATCATTAACACCAACAACAAAACTACTTTCTCTGTCAATATCTCCGAACCAACTATAGGTGTCACCTTTGCATTTGGTGAAATGTTTATTACTGTTGTTACCGTCATGTCTGCTACAGTCAAAGCTAAGTGCGTCAAATCTCACCCAGTGAAAAACTCCAAATGGTTTGTCTTACAAATCTAAAGGTTCAGTATTCTGGCAGATATACTTTTTCACATTTTTACACATATTAATATACACATCGAAGCTAACGCAACTGATAAATATTTAATTAATGCTGAGATTGTTGTAGATTAGAAGCAAGGCTACTAAAAGGACGATGCGCTCCTCTCTAAAAATAGACAGCTGCTCCACAAACTATGCATGCAATCTGTATAATCCGAGCAATAAAAATGTTATTACTTTTTGTTCTGCGTGCACTCCTTAAACCCCGACTGAAGATCAGCTAGAACATTAAATCATGCAAAAAAATCCTTGAAGGTGAAGAAACTGCGTAAGCCCAAGAGCTTTTTATATAACTGAATGCTGCTAAATGTCATTGCCAAAACTATATATTATGTTTATCAGTTAAAAGTAAAATTGTATTATGACGACTCTAATGTGCACAACCCGTCAACAATTACACTGCAGATCCTATTAGAGAGAAGCAATGCACGGCTTTAAGCCGAGTTTCCACGGTGTTGCTGATGTTAGCCGTTCTGCACTTAAATCTATGGGGGCATAGTAAACACGTGTTTCATTGCATAAGTAAAGGGAGATAATTGGGACTATAACAGGCAGACCTCCAACTTAGCTAGGCCACAAGCTCAATAGAAAGTGTTTTGAAACTCATTAAAGTTTGTAATAAAACAAACAGAAGAAAGCTTAGGTGCGCAGCTTCTGCACTTCAGGATTCTAATTAAAAACAACCCAAAGTTAGGCCTCTCAGAAACTGCTTATTTGGCAGGCTGCCCATTATGTGAGCACGTGTGCATCTGGGCGTATCCTGCGTGTGTGCGCCTGTGACAAGAACCAACCGCTCAGCTCTCCTTGGAGTCGAAGCCCATAATCTGAGATAGACACTCACAGAGAAGAACGTGTATGTGCACACCTCAGTTGGCACAACGTGTGCACACACGCAGTGTATACCCTTCCAAGTGTGCATTGAAACACACACCCATGTATCAATACACTGTCTGTATTAAGCCTCACTTATCCACTTCGCCGGGGGAGAGGGCTTTTGTTTCTGCGGATTTCATGGCATTATGAACTCAATTTGGAGCCAATAAACCCATGAACACTGTCGCGTAAGAGGTCATCCAAAACCACCAAGGAGGGGGAAGTGGAAGGGGGCCTCTCCAGGTTTTCCACGCACAAATATATAAGTGTGCTGATTGCATGTACTCAAGTTGTTTTGTACCCACTGAGAAAACAATTAGTGCCTAAACTAATCAATTAAGGCATGACAATTAGTGTCCCTCCAGGCTTTGCAGTGTGAACACAAAATGCACACTCTAATTTATATACAAAAGTAAGTGAACGCAAAGGGCAGAAGGGGAGAACTGCAAGAGGAGAGAAGAAAATGAAATAAAATGTGTAAACAGAGTCACAGAGAGCACAGATTAGGAATTTACATAACATTTCAAAATCCATCCACGAGCATCTGTATTTAATTGTAAAAACGAGCCGCAGAGTAAACGAAACAACCAAATGCCACTTACATCATCGTCCAAATCGTCCTCTGGGGAGGAGTCTTCTTTGGGGTCGGAGTTCACGTTCGGGTTGTAGGTCACGGTCCTCCCATTGCAGTCACCATAGTCTGCTACCACAGAAGGGCAGAGAGTAGACGCCTGCAGCAGTTCCAAGGACCCCGGCTTTAGTCTGTTGTTTCCCCCTGCCTCCACTTTGCCATCCCTGGCATCCTCATCCTCTCCACCTTCCCCAGACAACAAGCTCTCCCGCTCTCCGCTGGTGTCTCGCCTTTTGAGGCTCGGTGCCCTTCCCAGGCTGTTCCAGCTGGAGCGTCGACTTCCCCATGAGCTTCCAGAGCCACGGGGAGGAAGAGGAGAACGCCGCCCGGGACTAGAGAGGCTCTGATGAGACAGAAAATAGGGGCGAGCGTAATGTGTGGTTGTGAAAATGAATGTCGGTTCCAGCAGCTTTTAAAAGGCTAACAGTTAAAACTTTTCATCATCTGCTGAGAGTAGCATCATTTCAAATTTGACAACGTTTCATATGTTCTCATACTTTTTCCCACTCTTCCACAGTAAAATTTCTGATGAGTCTCTCAAACAAGGGCTTTTATTAGCCTAATTTTCATTATGGTTCTCAACCGTTGAGACAGTAATTATCATATTGAATACTGCTTTTCCCACAATCTCTCTCAATGTTGTTAAATTAGCAAGCTGTGAACTACATTTCATAGACATAAAATTGAGACTTGACCAAATGCTTTAGTTACAAACAGTTTTTTGTTCCCGCTCATGTAACACAGGACTATGATTGGCTCTCTGTGGCCAAATTATTTTCCAGTTTTGGAATACTCGCTCTCCTTGTGTCACACTGACCTCCTAATTACGTGACTTGCAGCTGTAAATGTGGTTAAATGAGCATGCCCCCTTCAGAGACTACCTTCCCAAACCACCGCTCCCTTCTGCATATGTGTATACGCCAGTGAAAATGATATATTAATGTTAAATCAATTCAGCTAAGTCAAGCATCCCTAAAGCCTGACTGAATCATAGCTATTCTCTCACTCAGATTAGAATTCACAGAACTGGTGTTGCTAAATGTCACAAATATGACATAAGTGGATCTGATTGGTTTCTGTGAAATGAAACATTTGAAGCTTGTGATTAGTTCTAGTATTACCTCACTGGGCTCACTAGCTCTTTAGGCCATATTTGGTACTCCATTTGAAACCACTGGGTATGCACATATGAAGCTGGTCTCATATCTTCTACCCTTTTTAAAAAAACTGTTAATGTGAGTTTTTTTTATTTTGAATCAGCAATAAGGAAAATGGATTTTCAAATAAAAGAACAAGCCTCATAACATCTACTGAATCTTCAGTGAGTCCACCAGGAATAATTAACTCATGATTAACTGAAGATATTGTACTGTACATGGTATTTACATGAAGACTTTCATATAACTTACCAGAGAAGGCGGATCGTATGGCTCCACTGATGTTGAGCTTCCCCGTCGGGACTCTGGGTGACCGACCCCTGCCTCAGGAAAACCCAGTCCTACCTCACTATATTGAGGTGCTCCGTCTATGTACATGAGCTCATCCCCGAGGATGGACTCAGGTCCAAGAGAGCTCTTAGGTGTAGGCATGGGTGTGGCTGCTGTGCGCATGATTATGGGAGGAGCCATAGAGCCACGAGGGTCAATGTGACCATTACCTGTCATCATCAGTGAGAGCTTTAGCTCTGTGGAGGAGAGTTATAGAGCATATTATAATGCTTCATATTGCTTTATTTCTCCTGCCACTTTCACTACAGTTTTTACTGATCAATCAGCTGTAAAAGCAGAAAAGGAATATCATGAAAACACCACTACCTGTGTCTCTGAACTGTTCTATCTTCTCGTCCTCATCAAAGTTGTCTGATTTCTTGTCATCATCTGACTCTGACCGATTAGCGTCACCCTGTAACACATGCATACATGACAACAATGATATTTCTGTATTGGCTTCCCATTTTGTTTTGACTTTAACATCACGGGGAAAATTTTTTTCAATCAACACCCAGACCATGAGCAAATTAAATCGCTCCAAAGATACACTGGGTACACATGGTTGAATGATAAAGGACTGATAGTGACTGGGAAATTCCCCTTCCTTTTTATGTTCTTCAAAGGCTTTACTATGCTAAACTACAGGAAATTTGCAGGGAATGAAAAGGACTTTTGTCTTTTATGAACATTATGTGCACCAATATGAGTGCCTTATTACCAGCTTTGAAAATGTAAAACAAGCCTACAAGTAGCATACTGGAAAATGGTGACCGCTCATAAACCAGTACAATCCAAAAATACTGAACCCTTTATTGTATGTAGAAACCAACGAGTCCGAGTTCTTCTCACCTCAGCCTGGAAGCCTTCAACCAAGATGGCCACTAGTAAATTGAAGAGCACATAGTTGCCAAATGTCATAAGAGCAACGAAGTAGAGAGCCGCCCATGGAGAGGTAGAAGCCATGCCGTTATACAACACCACATTCCAGTCCTCCTGGGTAAGAATCTATGAAATGAATGGCACACACAGAGATTTACACACACATTAACAAGAAAGGAGAAGGAGAAATTCAGGACAGGGAAGATGTGAGGTTTAGAGATATTAAACTAAAAGTGGGGATACGAAGTTCAAGCCTTAGACATTGGCAGAAATTAACATGAAGACATGAAATGCTCGGCTGCTTTTACTGGCGAAATACTTCATTTTCATATACTGTTTGTCTATAGGTTAACATGGGAAGTTTGTGAGTCTACATGTGTTTGCATGTCTGCAAGCTCCATCTCTGCCCTCCTACTTCACTGTGCTTGTATGTATGTGTGTGTGTGTGTATACATAAATATGTACACACAAAACATAAAAGTTATAAATTGATTGGCAGTTCAAAGCTTCAGCTCCCTCCACAGATTTTTTTTTATAGGACTGAGGTCTGGAAACTGGCTGGACCACTTCATGACCCTAATGCACTTCTTCTTTAGCCACTTGTTTCCTGACTTGGTGGTGCTGTATGCTTTAGGACAGTACACAGACCCGTCCATTGGCTTAATGGAGTAAAGTCATCCTGCACCCTTAGCAGAAAAACAGCCACAAAGCACAATGTTCCCACCTCTGTGCTTAACTGTAGGGATGGTGTTTTCTGGGTCATACTCAGTATTTCTCTTCCTCCAAACATGGCGGGTCAAGTTGATGCCAAAGACCCTTGGTGTCATTTGAGCACAGCACTTTCTCCCAAGCTTTCTCTGAATCATTTGTTTTACTAGCCGCCTTAAGACGGGCCTGTACATGTGTCTTCTTGAGGAGGGGATCCTTGTGGGCACTGCAAGACTTCAATCCACTACTGTAGTGTGTTACCAAAGGTGCTCTTGGTGACCGTGGTCCCAACTGCCTTCAGATCATTTGGGATGTCTACCACCTTTCTCATGATCATGAGGACGATTGATGGTCATTTTATAATTCCACCACTTCTGAATAATGGCACCAACGGTTGTCACCTTCTCATCACCTTTTTGCTAATGGTCTTGTAGCTCATTCCAGCCTTGTGCTGGTCTGCAGTCTTATTCCTGATGTCCTCTAACAACTGTGTGGCTGTGCCTCTGGTGGTGTTGAGGTTGTGATGGAAGAAACTGATTCTGTGGACAGGTGTGCTTTATAGTCATGATGAGCTGAGGTCAGTAGTATCTGTAATTGACTGACTGTAATCTGTGGGTTGGGTTTGGGATCAAATACATATATTTAACTAAATGAGGGGAAAATTTATTTATAATTTTTTACATAATTTATTTTCTGGATTTTTGGAGCTTGTTCGTTTCTTTCTGAGTAAACTTACAAAGGGATCAAAGAATTATTCCCCCCACTGTATGTGCCATGCATACATTTGTGTGTACTGTAGCTACTCCAGAAAACTACTGCAAGCGTATGACAGTCAGTTCAGGGCAAAATGCTTCTTCAGCACTAAAGTGAGACAGTGCTCTGCATTATGTGTTCTAGTCTTATGCTGAGGCATCCAGTATAGAAAAGAGGACAATCCATGTGCGATTGAACAACCTCCACAGGGAGGGAGAGCAAAAAATAGAAGTGATAGTGAAAGAGAGATTCTGGGGGAAGAATTTTCTACAGCATTGGACCAAGAGAAGACGCTTGGCAGAAATATGCAATATATACACACACACGCGTGCGCGCGAACACACTCTAGACTGACTTTGACATTTGATTTAGACATTTAGAATAGTGTGTCAGACTCCATGCCACCAATAACATGTGAGGACATGTGCAGTAATTTTTATTTATTTCAGTTCTTTGTAAGATGGAGGCTTCAGTTCACCACCTTATCTGTAATTTCATCAGAACCCTCCCTAAGCAATTTATATAGGCCATGTGGTTATTCCTATATATCTGTCTCTTTCTGTTTTTCCCTGAAGCAGAGGCGGCACGGACAGGTTATTATAATGGATGCCTACAGTATATGTATATTATAGCTGTAGATACAGGTAAGCTCGTATTTTGTTATCGTCATGCACAGTTTGGACAATGTGACATAAAAATAGGAAAGCAAAAGCCAACTTATAGATAATTCAAACTTATAGTGTTGCACAGTGTAAGTCAGAAACTAACCTGGAACACAGTGACAATGGCCCAGAGCAGACTGTCAAAGTTCTTTCGGTCAGGGATGGTGTCTCCAGTCTCTGTGCGAAAACTAAATTTACACCCAAAAAGATGCATGCCCAGTATACTGCAGAGAAAAAGGAAATGCAGACATATTCATTTGGATGTTTGCATTAATACTCATCAATATTCCATCACTAGAAAGTAGCCTGAAGAGAGACAGGTGGGAAAAATGTTAAATCTGTTTAGCCCCTACCTAAAAGTGAAGATGAAAAGCATGAGAAGCATGCAGAAGGTGGCCACATTGTCCATTGTCTTCATCAGCACTACGAGTTGTCTCCTCAGAGCGGGTAGGAAGCGAACCAGCTTCAGAACTCGTAGCAGACGAAACGTTCGCAGGACTGACAGCCCACCGTCTGCTTGGCCAATTATCTCCCACACACTGAGAACAACCCACAACAAAGTATTAAAATACTGGACAACTTCAGTCAATTTGTTTGTGAAAAAACACATAAACAAAGCAAAACAAGAGGACAAACCTCCACCAAGGCTGCTCACTTTCCAGGCAGTACTAAAGGTGGCCAGATCGATCCAAATATCCATAGTATCAATACCAATGGTGGTACTGATATCAGGTCGATATTAACAACATAGGATTGATAGTTTATGTCTATTCCCCAAATTGATGATTCATCTCATAAATCATGACACACTGCTCTCACCTACAAAAGCTGCCTTTATAAGTTCAAAATATCGGTAACAGTATAGGTATTGGCACTACTGACCCTGTATTTACTTTTTATTGGATCAATACCAAAATTTGCAGTATCGCACAGCATGAGTGTTTACTTTTAACCAAATATATTATCTTTTTATATATTTATTGTATTTTATTTGTTCTTTTTAAAGTTACTTTAAAAATCATATATTTTTTCAAAAATATATATACATTTACACTTATTCAGGAACATTGCTCATGTATTTAAACAGTTATAACCTGTTACTGTAATGTACATAACAAACTCATAATAAAATAATGAGACATTTAGAATCTCCATATATAGTTAATAATATATAGTTACATCATTAACTATAAATAGAGCTATAAGACTTATTTATTATTATTATTATTAGTTATTATCACTTTGACATTCAAATCAATCTATTGACCTTGAAGGAGAGGTCAAAGGTGAAATGTGACATATTTTATTTCATTTTATTCTAATATGTTATTTTCTATATGTTAAACTAAATACCTTATCTATAAGAATTATGTCAATTTTCAACCACTAAATCATTATGTTTACTTTGAAGTTTTAAGCCAAATTTGAATCGACTGTTAATATGATTCCACTCTACAACCCTACAAAGTTTTATTGAAATTCATCTAAAAGTTGTTGAGCTAACATGTTTGCAGGCACAATGATGACACGCATGCACACACTACCAAAAACACGACATCCTTGGCAGAGGTAATTACATGTGTGTTTTAAAGTGGCTCACCAGTAGTAACAGGATTACCTGTAGTGATTAGAAAGCTAATTCTATTTCAAAAGCAAAAGTAACCGAACATCACAGTTTGAAAGGCCCAAAGCTAAATGAGAGCCACACTGCAAACCTCAACTGACAGAGTAAGGAGTCTGCTGAGGCAGCAAGTGACGTGTGTTCCCTTATGACTGTGACAATCTTACCAACAGAAGAGATGCTACAGCACTGAACCTGACAACTGAAACCTCAAGTTGGTGAGAAATTAGACACACGCTATACCTCCAACTGTTACTTGTCTGCTACTGATTGCTTTGGTCTCTCTGCACTTTCTTCTCTACGTGGAGACAAAACAGCACGGATAAATACTACCTGATGATAACAATGATGCTGTCAAAGATGTTGTATGGGTTCCTGATGTATCCAAACAAGCCGAAAGCCAGCAGCATGAAACCCATCTCCAGGACAAACATGCTGGTGAAAACGATGTTGCTGATCTCTAACACATCAGTCAGTTCCTCGGGCTGGATGGAGCAAAAGAAAGAGAATGCAAAAGAAAAGAAGAGGGGGGAGGAGGGCATGGGAGATAAAGCAGGAAGGAAAACAAAAGAATGAAGAAGCAAGATAGTTAGTAAGTCCACTGTATTACCTCCAAGCCTTTGTGCCATGAGCTGAGACATTATCAGTCAACATCAGAGCTGCAGCCAGGCCCTATCAATCAATATAGGGCCAACACCAATCTATAACTGCTAATCTACTTCACTTACCACATTACACTCAGTGATCCAGCAAAGATTTAACCGAGGCCCTCTTGTAAAACGTCTAATCTTGTATTAAAAATTCTGCATTTTTGTGCTCCAGTAAATTTTCTGGTGCCACATCCTGAGTTCATACACTGCGTCTCATCAGGACAAACTAACTAAAGCATTGCAAGTCTGTTGTTTGTCTGCGAGTCTGCTGGAGAACCATTGTTACATTATTACAAATCCATTGTAATAGCGCGTATGTGAATGTGGACTTTCAACATTGCACCTCAGTCTCACATCATTCTCCTGCACGAACATTAAATGCTCTTAAAAAATAGCCCTTCAACCACCAGCCTTTTTATTACATTTCGTTTTACTTGCTAAGTATCAAGAGTCTTTGCTAACAAGCATTGTGCAGTCCCAAAATTCACACGTAATGAATATTTATGATCCCCACATGACTGAAACCATAAATTCTCTCTACTCTCCCTCACAGTTTGTGAAACTCTTTAGCTTGTGATAGATTTTAGTTCTCATGCCACAGAAGGAAGACTTATTAACACCACTTGTGACTCTCTGCATATGTGGGAGTCAACAAGCAGTAGACCCAAACCCCCAGGCCCATAACAGATAGACCATATTTATGAGTATCACTGACAACGCTAATATACATACACTATATTGCCAAACGTATTCACTCATCTGCCTTCACATGCATAGGAAATTTAGTGATATCCCATTCTTAATCCACAGAGTTTAATATGATGTCAGCTCACATGTTGCAGCTTATGAGCTTCAGCTCTTCTAGAAAGGCTGTGTGTTTACAAGAATTTTTGACAATTCTTCCAAAAGTGGACTTGTGAGATCAGACACTGATAAGGCCTGGCTTGCAGTCTCCTCTAATTCATCCTAAAAGCGTTCTATCAGGTTGAGATCAGGACTCTGTGCAGGCCAGTCAACTTCCTCCACACCAAACTCACTCATCCATGTCCTCATGGACCTTGGTTTCTGCACTGCTGTTCACAAGAAGTTGGGAGCATGAAATTGTCCAAAAAGTTCTTGGTATGCTGAAGAATTTAGAGTTTCTTTCACTGGATCTAAGGGGCTGAGCCCAACTACTGGCAAACAACCCCACACAACTTTACACTTGGCACAATGCAGTCAGACATGTACCGTTACCCTGGCAACTGTCAAACCCCGACTCGTCTGTCAGATTGCCAGATGGAGAAGTGTGATTCATCAGTTAAGGAGCACATCTCCACTTCTCTAGAGTCCACTGGCGGCGTGCTTCCAACGCTTTGCATTGTGTTTGGTGATGTAAGACTTGGATGCAGCTGCTCGGCCATGTAAACCCATCCCATAAAGCTCTTGACACACTGTCCTTGAGCTCATCTGAACGCCACATGAAGTTTAGCGGTATGTAGCAAGTGATTGGTAGGCCTACACCTGAATTTGTTGATGTGGATGGGTGAGTGAATACTTTTGGCAACATAGTGTACTTCTTTGCTGACCTTAACAACTGCCGAAAAATGTATGTATGGTACATCTCTGTCAATATCATGCGTACCCACTGATAGTACTTGTGTTATACAGTGCTAGATTGACAGTAGTTTAAATGCTTGCTGCTAAAGCTGTTATGATTGTAAGCCCATTATCAATATGAATTGCGTTTAGTAATGTGGAGTAAGAACAGGGTTGTGTAACAAATTAACAAATTATACAGCATTTTTGCTGATGAGCTTGTGAGTTAACGCGGAGATTC